ATACATTTTGGTAGAGAGGAATATAGGACTACTGTCATATAGGTTATGTTATCGGGCATCCTTCTAATTCCCTTGAACAACCAAGATTGAACTTTTGAACTCTTTATAATTTCTATTATCTAGTCCAGTTAAAGTCCAGGGGAGGAAGCCCCATCATAGTAAAGAGGATACTAATGTGATGTGTGTAGTTCTTCATAGCCTCTTCATTTTGCTCTCAAAGTGCACGGAATTGATGGATTTTTAATAGAATGTAGAAAAAAATTATCCCGGGGGGGCATGCCCCCGGGCCCCCCTTGACATACAGGGCAACCAATCAGATGACAACTGAATCACCGCTCATGCGCAAACAACGGTGCTAAGCGCTAAGCTCGTCAGCTTTAAAGGTAGGGGTGCCCAATACGTGAATCGCAATCGACCCCGGAGCCAGCGGAACGGTCCCAAATCGAGCGCGAGTGTTGGAAGGGGGAAATGGGGGGTGGGGGGTATGTCTGTGAGTTTCGATTTCGTTCATGTTCAGTGAAGTTCCGGCTCTCGCTCATCTCGGTGTCTGTGCGTGCCTGCCTGCGTATGCGCACGTGTACGTGCGTGCCTGCGTGCGTGTGTGTGTATCAGTGATGTGTTCCTCGAGCCGGTCCTTGGCCTCGAGGACCGGCTCGAGGACCGAAGGTCAGTCCTTGGTCCTTGGCCTTGGCCTCGGGAGTCAAGTCCTTGGCCTTGGCCTTGGGAGTCAAGTCCTTGGCCTTGGCCTTGGCCTCGGGTTGCCGGTCCTCGGACACAATGAGGGATTAGAGCCTCAAATCCCTTGTCCACAGGTATAAAGTGGGCCCGAGGACCGCAAAAACAACGGAGGAATCAAATAAATTCCATCCAGGGAAACCCATATTGATACATTAAGCTGGCACTTTAAACGGGGCGGGTCTGACACTGACAGGTCTTGTCCACAGGTATAAAGTGGGCCCGAGGACCGCAAAAACAACGGAGGAATCAAATAAATTCCATCCAGGGAAACCCATATTGATACATTAAGCTGGCACTTTAAACGGGGCGGGTCTGACACTGACAGGTGACAGTTAGCGCAACGTATAAAGAGCGGCATCACAGTTAGTTTCAATCACGGTTTGTTCCGTTCGCGATCGGCAGTTTAAATAACGTGTAAAGTCTTTCTGTAACAGTGGTGTCTTTTATGTAGTTA